CGTTGGAAAGGCAAGTCTGCGAAAATGCGGGCGCAGGTGGGTGAACCCAACGACACAACGGGAGTGGCGCAAAGCGAACGGGATGGGCGCGCGGATATGCGTCGAATGAGCGGAAGCTCGGCGGAAGAATAAAAAAAGGGCAGATGGGCGGAAAGGAGTGAAGGGTGCCCCACGGAGGTACGGGCGAGGTACTTGAGAGAGAAACGGTTCGAGATTTTATAGAAGCCACGAACATTGAGACGTTTATTTGGCGCCTAAAAGATCGTATCAGTGAAGGGTGCCCGGCGGAGGTCAATGGCGAGGTACTTGGGGCAGCAACTGTTCAGAAAAATACGAAAGTTCTGACGAATGTATTTCGTGCGCTGACAAGCATTCCTTGCGGGGTGCGATGCGGCGAACCCATGTCCAAACATGTGACGGGAAACAGAAAGGCTTAACAAAGCAAACGGCACAAGAATACTGTGTTCTAAAAGCATCAATACTTAACGCCTAAAAATAACAAAAATATGCTTTCTCCGAGCATTACCATCGGAAAACACTCTAAGTCCAATGCAGGTTACGTCGAAGAATCATCCGTAGCCAGCGAATGATTGAAACTGCTCAGGCAGAGAGATAGCGGCAGCGGAACGTACCACGCATTGCCCTGTGCAGTTGAGGTAGATGGTGTTGTTGCCCGACGGATTGCACAAGTCATTACATGTTGAGTTGTAATTTGTCTGCGCCGAAGCCAGGTGTAGCAACGTGGCGAGAGCTAGAGCCAGCAGCAGCACGTTGGCCTTCATGGTTACTAAAAAAGGCAAGCCTAGTTTTTTTGGCGTGGTCGACTGGTGGAAACTAACGGACTGACCAGAATGAGAGAAATGGAGAATGTTCACAGACCAAACAACAGGAGGGAAATGGAGGAGACTTGAGATATATGTTTGTTGAATGGTCAATGTTCGACAGATAGGGTTGCTCTTCTGACTTCTGTTAGCCAAAAATGGCAACCACACCACGCCATGTGCTCAGGCAAGACCTGTGAGTTTCACCACGGCTCGTGTTTTGGTGTGGATGGAAGCTCGCTGACGTGACACTCGGCGGGAAATTGGCTGAAGCAGGTTTGGGTGTATCAGCCCAGAGGAACAGCCAGGGCCGAAGCTTGAGGTTCGGGTGAAACCTCTCGACGTGGATGAGCCGCGGCTTGGCTACTGAGCTCGGCTTGGAGCAAATGGAGAGGCAAAGAACCGATTTTTACGAATCGCTGTGGGCTTCAGGATACCGAACGTGAATTGTGCCACGGAACCAACAACGAACGAAAGGAGGTGCCCTAATTGTGGAAGGGGCACCTCTGCTTCCTATAATGCTTTCCGTTATCTCCACTTATCTTACATGCCATTCCATAGAGAGTTGTATGAGATGTAATAAGGAATGGAGAAACGCCATCTTATGAGGGGATCCAAGTTATGATCCATATTTTTCCAATTACATATGGCAATCCATGATTTTCCAGGAATCGAGTGCTGGTTATGTAACATACACAATTATTTCATAAACTATGTTTTGTTGCACTATAGAGGGTACCCTAAAATATGGACCCCCCTTTGTATACCCTTGGTCTCCATTCGTTCCCTTCTTACGGTAATATGGTATCATCTTAGGTTATGTTGTTCGCTTCCGCACCACCTACACCCCTTGCTGCCTTTGTGCTCTCACGACCCTGCCCCCTTTAGCGCCCCCTAGCATCCTCTAGCGGCCCCCATCTAGCCCCCACACCACCCCCCCCCCCCCCCCCCAGCGCCCTGTCGCGCCCCTCCCTCTAGTGGCCTCGTCGCAGCCCAACCACTTCCCCATCGCACCGCTGGCGCGCCATGCCATGCGCCCTACCGTGCGCCTACTACACGCCCTGCCGCGCTCCTTACCAAGCCCTACCACACCCTACTGCGCCCACCGTGTGCCTGTTGCGCAGCTGCCGAACCTTGCCGCCGCGCCTACCGCGCACCTGCCGGAGCTGCCGGCCACGCTTGCAATTGCACCTACCAGGATCGCCTGACGTCGCGCCTGTCGAAACCAATGAGCCTGCAGCTATTGTTCGCCGCCGCACCTGCGGCTGTTGTTTGCCGCCGCATCTGCAGCTCCGGTTAGGGTTTATCTCAGCTTGTCTTCTCCTCCCTTGTGGCTATCCCCTTTCATTTGATCTAGCTGTGCCCCTGCTCACTCCTATCATGGCGTCCAAGTTTGTACTGCAGCTCGATCCGGAGGGGCAGGCGATCAACTTTGACGCATGGTTGCTCGACGTCCAGCTCCACTTGCAGAGTCAGCTCTTAGACGCCGTCTACCTGTATGCCGACATGTCAGGTGAGCTACCTGCCCCCGAACATCCTCCAGCCCTTAATGTTGAATCCATCTCGGGGGAGCAGGAGGCTCACCGCATGGCCCAGCTCGCGTATTTGGTTTGGGCGTCGTGCAAGCTTCTGCGCGCCTCGCTCTTGGTTGCCTCCTGCCGCCGGCCAGGCGAGCGCACTTTTGCAGGTCGCGACGGCGAAGGAGTGTTTGATCTCGCTACCAACCTGCACTCGCTTGATGCTAGCTTTCGCTACTGAGCACCTAGCTACGCACACACCCCCCCTCCCCCTCATGTATCTCACTCCGCACTTCCTAGCGACCGCCTCCCTGATTGCCACGTGCCTGCACGTAACACCCTCCTTGCCATGCACCCCATGAACCTCACTCTCGATCTCTTTGCGACGCGTCTCACTGAGATCGAGTATCGACTTCGCACCATTGCCTCCACCGCGGTAGTTCCCCCCATCTTTAAGGGGTGCGCTCCACCCCGAATCCCTGCTGAGCCTAGTGTTACAGCAGAGGCCGAAACCGTCTCTGTCACCTTTGGTGGCGAGGACGGTGCATGGGTGGTCGTCGTCGTGGAGGATGTGGAGGTGCTGGTACGCTAGGGGTTGCTAATGCTGGGAGTGCTGGTTCTGGGGTTGCCGCAGCAGGAGGTGCTGGTACCAGGGGTGCGATGGTGACTCAGCAACAGGAGTATAAGTCGCAGCAGAAGCAGCAACAGCAGCAGTCGTAGCAACAGCAGCTCCAGCAGTGGGTTTCCCAGCATCAGTAAGGACCTAATGGCTCGAGGAGCGTGGCCGCGGCGGCGGGTATGACAGCTAGGTGTCGCGTGACCCCCCCATCGAGCCCTGCCAGTACAACCTCAGTCTGCTCCACTGCGCGGCACCGTCTGCAGACTCACCGGTCACTCCACTGCGCTCTACTTCCGCCAACTCGACGACCTCTTCCGCGCCCGATTCGGGCGTATGGCTTCCCTCCGGACTGGCCTACACTGTTGCGCCATGGGTTGCTGTGTTTTATATGGACATGTCTGAAATAGGATATGCTTTGTTTGCCATGTATGGTGATGACTATAGTGTTGCTGGATCATATTATTTGTGTGTGCATAGACTATGTTCTCTAGCTATCTCTGTGCAAGATCATCTGATGCTTCCTGCCCAGGTGCGTCCACCGTCGGCGAGTCCCTCTCCTTCACACCAGAATCCGGTGTGTCCCAGTGCTACTTCCGCACCAACCTCTGGCCGCTTCCAACCCATGTCGCGGACCCTCCTCTGGACCGGTCATCGCACGAAGCGCTAATGCACTCCCTTGTGTGGTAGTCACCTCTTGCTCCCTCACAGGTATGCACATCCCTTTGTTCACCATGAACTTGGTGGGTGTTGGTCGTCTTCAGGACGTCGGCGTCACCACCACGTTTCCTAGGCACGATTTGTTTGCGACTTGTATGGACGATACCACTGGGTCACCTCTTGCCACGTACTTTTGGGACAATGTGTCGTGTATTTTCACGTTGCACACTGCGTCCACCCAGGTTCCTACTCCTGGCCAGGTAGTCGCATCGTACTCGTGTCGGTCGCTCAATCACCCATCGCTCCTGAGGCACCGCCGTCTCATGGCCCAGCACGGTCTTGTCTCTAGTCTCCCGTCGTAGCTCCCCGCTCTCTCTCCCTCGTCTACATCGCTGTGCACCCCTTGCGTCGAGGGCAGACAACGCGTCGCCCTTCGCTTCTTCTTGTTTCCTCCCATTACTGCACCCTCTCCAGACCTTGCACATGGATGTCTGGGGCCCTGCCCCCATACCTGGACAGCGCCGGGAGCGCTCCTTCTTGGTCGTTGTGAAAATGGGGCCGAGCCTTTCATTTCGAGAGTTGTTGTAGGGTGAACCCAGCGAGGATTAAAAATGTTATTTTTATAAACCTAACCTGGCTACACCTGTATTTTGTTACATAACTTCTGGAAACCAGGCCACTATCAAGAATGGTTCGTGTTTAGGGAAGCGAGTCAACCGCTGCGTAACGCATACAGCCGTTCTGAAATATTTGTGAACCGCCTTCCATCCGTATGATTTTTCAATTTCTGGTTCAAAACCAGTGCAAGTTGCTACCCTTTCACCTGAACCGAAAAAACCACACCCATGGTTGCGCTGCGCGAGGAGCAATTAGGGTTCAAGGCTTCATTGGTCATTGCGATTTATTATTGGTAGTGCGATAAAGTAGGCTTTGAAATAGGTATTGTCGGCCGTCATAGGGCCGGCCTTTTGGTCTATCAAGTCTTTTCTCGCGGGGTGCAGGATGAACGCGTTTAACGACGCCATTCTTTTTGAGAAGCTATCGAAGCTGAATGCATCGCAGCAGAGCATTGAGAGTAAGAACCTGTCTCGCTGGTCGTTTAGCCTCGCTGGTCCGTCCGCCTGTCTGATCCATCCACCTCACAGTCAGCAGTCCCGGCCAGCCGTAATCCGACTTCTATATTATGATCACCCTCGTTTACCATTTCCCATTTCTATACCTCAATTCGTTTTTTTTTTTTTTTTCAAGAACGACGTTAGGCGGGTAAGTTAAGCTGGTCCGAGACGTTACCGTGACCGTTACCGTTTGATATCTGACCGTTCCGTGCGTCTCTCGCTCCCTCTCCTTCTCTCGTTCTCTCTCTCCCACCCATCCCCGTCCGTTCAGCGCTCTCCCATTGGTGCATTTTTCACCGGAAGCGCGCCGACCAGGTGGTGCAGACATGGCAGAAGCACTTCGCGAGCACGTCGCAGGATCGCAAGTTACCACTGCTTTACCTCGCGAACGACATTCTGCAGAACAGCCGCAAGAAGGGCCCAGAGTTCATCCAGGAGTTCTGGCAGGTGCTGCCCTCCGCTCTCCAGGACCTCGTGCGCGTCGGCCCTGACAGCACGCGCAAGTCCACCCTCCGCATCGTACGTTCCGCTTGATTCGAGATTAGTGGCTGTAGCGGGGATGTTTCTGGCGGTTAGTTCTGGTAGGTGCTGCCCTCCGCTCTACAGGATCTCGACCGCGTCGGTCCTGACAGCGCGCGCATGTCAACCCTCCGCATCGTACGTTGTTCCATTTGAACCGCATTCCAGATCAGTGGTAGTAGCGGGATTTTTTTTCGCCAGTTTGAGATCAGTAGCAGTTGCGGGAATGTCTCCGGCAAGCGGGCTAATATTACCGGAAATGTTTCTGGCAGCTTGAGATCAGTATTAGCAGCGGGAATTTCTCCGACTCGCGTAGGGAGCGTTCCTTGCGCCATGCCTTGGGCCGTGCCTTGCGCCGTGCCTTGAGACGCCTCAACTTCGAGTTCTCTTCCCAGTCGAACCCCCGCATTGTGCGTCCCCCGTCTCGCTGTCTCGCCCCTCCGCATTTGGAGGGTGAGACGAGGGTGACGCGATGACTCTTTAACGGCTCGCCATGTGCTTCCAGGGGTTACCATTGACGGTTCTAAGGAATCATCCTTCCGCGTTCCCACTCCACCTTTGAATCCCCCCACCGTTTCCCTCCCCTCCCCTCGATCTCCCCACCCTCCATTTCCCTCCTACCCCCTCTCTCCGACCCAACCCCCCTTTCCGCCCTCCCCGACCCACCAACCACCCTGCGCCACGTGGCGATTGCGCCGCCAGGTGGACATATGGGAGGAGCGCAAGGTGTTTGGGCAGCGCGACGAGCCGCTGAGGAAGCTGCTGCTGGGAGATCTCGCCACCGCGCCGCCCGCCACGTCAGCCGCTCAGGCAGACGAGCAGCCTGCCGCGGGAGCGGTTAGCACGGCGAAGGTGAGGAGCAATTGGGATAGATAGAGGGTGTTTTTGGGATTTCTCAACACACGCCCTGCATGCAGTGCAGTGCGAGGGGCGTGCAGGGCGAGTAGCAGCGGCTCAGCAGACGAGTTTTGAGGCTCCTCAGAAATCATTCCTGGGAGACACAGCAGCTGCAGAGGAGTTTCTCAGGCGCTTCAGAAATCGTTTCTATGGCGATGATGAGGAGTGTGTGTGTGTGTGTGTGTGTGTGTGTGTGAGCGAGTCAGGGTGGAAGAAGAGGGGGAGAGAGAGGCAGGGAGAAAGGGAAGGAGAGAGGGAGAGAGAGGGAGAGGGTATGGGGAGAGGGAGGGAGAGATGGAGGAAGATAGGAAGGAAGGGAGGGAGGGAAGGAGGGAGGGAGGGGGAGAGGAAGATAGATAGAGAGAGAGAGAGAGTAGGGAACATCCAACCGAAATCCCCTACGGGCCCGAGCCGCGTCCACAATACGAACACCAACGATCCCGAGGCACCTTTACCTTGTTTATATCTTGCACATTCTAATACAAAGGACCGTTTGAGAGTAGGGAAGGAGAGATGGAGGGAGAGTGGGCCAAATATTGTTGGTGTGCAGTACAGAGCGGAACAGTGATATTGACGAGCACATATTATCCCGACCAATCACACGCTTCTCCCCACCACTCACTCTCTCCACGCCCACGCCCCCCCCAAGCAGGTGCGGGGCCCACTGGAGCGCATATCATCAGTGTATGGGGCAGTGCAGGATGCGAGCAAGGACGAGGACACGGCGGTGCGACCGTAGCATTATACACCCTCCTCTCCCCCTCTTCCCCTCCTCCTCCACCAGGTGCGCGGCCCTCTGGAGCGCATATCATCGGTGTACGGAGCAGTGCAGGATGCGAGCAAGGACGAGGACACGGCGGTGCGACCGTAGCATTATACACTCTCCTCTCCCCCCCTTCCCCTCCTCCTCCACCAGGTGCGCGGCCCTCTGGAGCGCATATCATCGGTGTACGGAGCAGTGCAGGATGCGAGCAAGGACGAGGACACGGCGGTGCGGCGCTGCAGTGCGATCATCAACGAGCTGCAGACCATTGAGAAGGAGCTCACTGCTCTCAAGTCGCCTGCTAATGCGTCTGGTGAGTGAGTGTGTGCTGTGCTGTGCTGTGCTGTGCTGTGCTGTGCTGTGCTGTGCTGTGCTGTGCTGTGCTGTCCGGTGCTGTGCTGTGCGGTTTTGTGCTGTGCGGTTTTGTGCTGTGGACGAAACGATAGTGCACACATTTGCTGTCCTTTTTCCTCTCAGTGCTTGTCCTCACCTCCTTTTCTTCCTTTCTCTACCATGCCTGTTTCTTCTCATCACCAGAGGCAGACGAGCGGGCGGTGGTGCTGGACAGGTTGGACACCAAGCGCCACGTGCTGCAGCAGTGCTGCCAGCTGATGCCTTCTCCCTTGCTCCCCCTTCTCCCTTGCTTCCACTTCTCCCATCTCTCCCCATCTCCCACCAGAGGCGGACGAGCGGGCAGTGGTGCTGGACAGGCTCGACACCAAGAGGCACGTGCTGCAGCAGTGCTGCGAGCTATTGCCTTGTCCCTTGCCTCACTTCCCCTTGTCCCACTCCTCTTGCACCCATTTCTCCCCTTGTTTGTTCCCACCAGAGGCGGACGAGCGGGCGGTGGTGTTAGACAGGCTGGACACCAAGCGCCACGTGCTGCAGCAGTGCTGCATGTTGATGCCCTCCTTCTTTTCCCATTGCTCCCGTCTGCTTTCCTCCCCCTTCTTCTCCCACCAGAGGCGGATGAGCGGGCAGTGGTGTTGGACAGGCTGGACACAAAGCGCCATGTGCTGCAGCAGTGCTGCGACCAGATGGCGGCGTGTGAGCGCAAGCGAGCGCTGCTGGTGAAGCTGCTGACAGATGCGGTCAGGACACAAGAGAGCAAGCTGGAACGCCTGAGGTCACAGGTGGAGGTGAGATGCACAGAGCCCGCTTCCCCCGTTCTCTCTGGCCCCACCCACTCCCTCTATCTCCTCCCTTTCCTACGAAATGGAAGGGAGGGCGGGGAATACATTCCTCCCATGCTCTGTGTGAGCGGAAGCGAGCTACAGCGCCCGCTATCAGCAAAAACGACGGATTGACAACTTGCAACCTCAAAATCTGAGATCAACAGTCTCACCCACTGTTGTCCTCCAACCTGATTGCACCACCCCTACCGCGTGCAAACTCAGTCGTACGTTCCCAGCAACCTGCGCAAGCGAGCCACAGGGGAAGGTGCTGCTTGTCCCACTCGTTTGTGCTGTGCCCCAACTCATTCATTGCGCAACTACTCGTGCACTGACTGACCTCTCTGCTGCAGATCGCACGCACACAGTCAGAGATAGCAGCCAACCTGCCTGCGCACGCGAGCCACGGAGGAGGACGCTGCTGATCTCACTCTTTTGCACCCCTCTTCATCCGTGGCCCCTCCTTGTCCCGCCACCCATGTGCAGATCGCGCGCACACAGTCGGAGATAGCAGCCAACCTGCGCAAGCGAGCCACGGAGGAGGATGCTGCTCGCGCCTCTGCTGGCCTCACTGCTGCAGCCAACCCCTCCGCTACTGCCCCTGCCACCACTGCTGCTGCACCATCCGCCCCAGCATTCTTCCCAGCCCCTGCAACAGCAGCGGCCCCTGCCGCTACAGCTGCACCTGCACCAGCGTTCGTTCTCCCCGGGTTCCAACCTCCCCCAGGCACGCCTCCTGAGATGGTGGCTGCAGCCGCTGCTGCTGCTGCAGCTGCCGCCGCTGCTGTAAACACTTCTCAAGCCTCTACCCCTGCTGCTGCTGCCGCTGCCGCCGCTGCTTCTGCTGCTGCTGCCGGCAATCCAGGTTTGTCGGCTGGTCTTGCTGCTGCAACAGGCCCGGGTGCCGGAGCTGGTGGGGTCACCGATACTGAGCGGGAGGCTCGGCGGAAGCGGGCGGCGGAGCTGACGAGCCAGCTGGTTGCTTCGGCATCATCTGCCGCGATTCTGAAATCCGTTCTTTCGTCGTTTGCAGCTGGGCAATCAGTAGCAGCAGGAGCCGCCGCTGCTGCTGCTCCGGCTGACGCTGCTGGTGCAGGTGGTGGGGCGGATGGTGGTGGTGGCGGTGGTGGGGGGTTACAGATCCCGGGAGCACCAGTTTCTGGGGCAGATGCTACAAACGACCCTTCTCAGCCACCAGAGAAGCGGCTGCGACCCACCGATACAAGCACACCGCCTCTGTCGCACTTGTTTGCAGCTCCTCCCGCCACCGCCGCTGCCTTTGCTCCCCCAAACCATGCAATGTTCCCCCCGCCCCCACCCCCACTGAACATGGATGGTATGCCATTTCCCCCCTTGCCCCCTCCTCCCCCTCTCCCTACTCAATCCCCTCCTCCCCAACAGACCTCTGCTGCTATGCCGCAATATTCTCTTGCCCCCCCTCCCCCTCCCTATACTGCTTATCCTCCCAATGCTGCCACTGGCGCTCCCCCCCCTCCTTATAATGTACTAGGGCAGGGTAATGGGGGTTATCAGGGGCAAGGGCAGATGGGGCCAGGGGATGGGGGTATGGGAGGGAATGTTGGAGGGCAAGGGGGGGAATATGCTGGGCAAAATGGAGGGGGGGTGTACAACGCGGGGGGTATGTCGTCTCAACAGTACATGTATGGGCAGGCACCCATGCAGTAGAGAATTATGGAATTGTTGGTGTGCTAGTTTATTCCTATCCCCTTTAGTCTGTCCTCCCAATATGCATTTATTAGGCTGGCAAAGGTGGTGTTACGGCTCCTGCAGAAGCTACACTTCATTTGGCTGGTGTTTTGGAAGGGACTCCGTAACGCGTACGCGAGCCCAACCAGCAACTTCTGGTTTGGTCCAGACCTGGTGCGGCAGGCTTGTTAACAGCACACCCCGAAAGCACTCTTTCCAGTTGACTAGTATTTTCATCATGTCACCATTCTCAGTTTATCCCCGCGTGATCCTTGTCTGGCACCTCCGCCATTCGCGCTCGTTTTCCGCTTCCCCTGATGCCGGCGGGAGCTTTTTCCGCCCCCGCTGTTGCTGACCTCGCCCTTTACAGGCGATCGTCGTGCGACAGCCGAAGGTCGTGCGACCGTAGACAGTTGTGCGACGGTAGAAGGTCGCGCGACAGTGGAAGGTCGTGCGACAGTGGAAGGTCGTGCGACAGTGGAAGGTCGTGCGACAAACGTTCAGTGTTCGTCGCGCGCTGTTTCCTCCGCCACCCTCCGGCGTCCGCGCGTCCACCCGCGCTACTCGCCGCGCCCGTTCCTTCCGAACCAGCTCGCCCCGCGCCTAGCCTTCCCCACGGCCGCGCCGCCGCCCGCGCATTGCGCTTCCCTCGCGCCGCTATGCGAACACCTTGCGTGGGAGCTTTTGCTGGGAATGGCGGGGAGGGCGGAAGCGCGGCGAGACCGCGGATTGACGGTTCCTGTGGTGTGGCGGCGGCCGCAGGCAGTGGCGGCGGCGGCGGCGGCGGCGGCGGCGGCGGTGGCAGCTCGAGCAAGTGGGCGGGCTCGGTGTGGACCGCGCAGGAGATTGCTGACGTGGCAGGCGGCGCCGTCGTCAGGGACGGCCCGCCGGGGCGCGTCTGCACTGACACGCGCCAGCTGGCGCCCGGCGATTGGTTCCTGGCTCTGCGAGGGCCGCGCTTCGACGGCACGGATTTCCTGGAAGAGGCGGCGCGGAGGGGGTGCGGGGGGGCGGTTGTTATGGCGGACGGATAGGGGGAAAGGGGGGATGCGGGGAATGGGGGGAATGCGCCAGAGGGGGGCGGCGGAAGGGAAAGCGGGAATGGGGAAGAGGGGGAATGCGCGGAAGTGGGGTTAAGAGAAGAAAAGGGAGCAAGGGAACCAAACTTGCCTCCGAACCTTCTGCCAGAGGGATGGCAGGGAGGGTTGGTGGTGGTGCCAGACACGCTCGGCGCGCTGCAAGGCTTGGCGAGGGAGGCTCGGCGGAGATTCGGCGGCGTGGTGGTGGGGGTGACAGGCAGCATGGGGAAGACCACGGCGCGGGCTTTAACTGCCCTCGCTCTCTCGCCCCTGGGGGCCGTGCACCAGGTGTGGTGCAGCGTGGCGGAATGTGGGGGATGGGGTGGATGCGGTGGAATGGGGTAGGTTGGGGTGGGGTCCCAGTGTCTCTTTTGTGAATCGTCAAAAGTGAAAACCCTTTTGTTTCATTTCATGTCTCTTCCATCACTTCCCAGGTCATCCCCCGTTTCATTAATGCATGTCTCCGTGCCTCCACTCCCTTTCTATGCAGACCCAGGGCAACCTGAACAACCACATAGGAGTGCCGCTCACTCTCTTAGGTACGTGCAAGTGATGGGTAGGTGGTTGGGGCAAGACAGACATGTGACCGGCATGGGTGGGGAAAGGCATGCTAGTTTGAGTGAGCCGTTACTTCCCTCTCCTCGCCTAGTCCCTGTCCACAGCTCATAACAGATCGCCTCACTTCACAACACGCGCAAGACAAATACACTCACCTTAAACCCACCAACAGCAGCAAATATTTTGTTTTCCCCTCCCCCCCGCTCGTTCTCCCCGCTCGTTCCCCCCGCTCGTTCTCCCCGCTCGTTCCCCCCACTCGTCCCCCCCGCTCTGTCAGCTCTCCCACAGGCAGCAGCAGCGTGTGTGGTGGAGATGGAAATGAGTGCGCGCGGGGAGATGGTCCTCTCCGCCATCGCCTCTCCCTGCATCCGCGTGCTTCTCAACGTCAGCCCCGCTCACATCGGCATAGCTGCACATCAGCAAATGGGCACATTGACGCACATGCAAGGGTCTCACTCGACTCGTTCTTTCTCCTCCTCCCTTCTCCCCTCTCTTCCTTCCCCCCTCTTCCTCCCCCTCTCACTGCCTCGCACCAGCTCTCCCTCAGTCATCAGCAGCGTGTGTGGTGGAAATGGGAATGAGTGCTCGAGGCGAAATCGCCCTCCTCTCCACCATCGCCGCTCCCTCCATCCGCGTCCTTCTCAACGTGGGTCCCGCTCACATCGGCGACCCCTCGCTGGGTTCTCTGGAAGCCATAGCAGAGGCCAAGGGGGAGATGCTGGAAGATGCAACGCCAGGCGATGTGTGCGTGGTGAATGGGGACGACAGTCTTGTCATGGGGCTGCCGATAAAGAAAGGAGTCACACGGGTAAGTCTCCACCCAGCCACTCCCTCCCCATTCCCCTGCCCCCCACACACCTCGGAGACCCCACACCCGGCTGGGTCGCTGGAAGCCATGGCAGAGGGCAAGGGGGAGATGCTGGCTGATGCGCGGGATGGAGATGTGTGCGTGGTGAATGGGGAGGGGACGACGGGCCTGTCATGGGACTGCTGATCGGGAGAGGAGTGAGACGGGTGAGTGCCCTCATACGAATGTGGTTTCCCTCGTGCCATCTCAAGTGTGCCGCCCGGCAATGCCAAGTGAGAAGGCTGGAAGAGGGCTGGGTGCACTTGTTTGAGAAAGGCCTCTCACATGCACTAGTGGGTGCACTAGTTTGAGAAAGGCCTCTCACATGCACTAGTGGGTGCACTAGTTTGAGAAAGGCCTCTCACATGCACTAGTGGGTGCACTAGTTTGAGAAAGGCCTCTCACATGCACTAGTGGGTGCACTAGTTTGAGAAAGGCCTCTCACATGCACTAGTGGGTGCACTAGTTTGAGAAAGGCCTCTCACATGCACTAGTGGGTGCACTAGTTTGAGAAAGGCCTCTCACATGCACTAGTGGGTGCACTAGTTTGAGAAAGGCCTCTCACATGCACTAGTGGGTGCACTAGTTTGAGAAAGGCCTCTCACATGCACTAGTGGGTGCACTAGTTTGAGAAAGGCCTCTCACATGCACTAGTGGGTGCACTAGTTTGAGAAAGGCCTCTCACATGCACTAGTGGGTGCACTAGTTTGAGAAAGGCCTCTCACATGCACTAGTGGGTGCACTAGTTTGAGAAAGGCCTCTCACATGCACTAGTGGGTGCACTAGTTTGAGAAAGGCCTCTCACATGCACTAGTGGGTGCACTAGTTTGAGAAAGGCCTCTCACATGCACTAGTGGGTGCACTAGTTTGAGAAAGGCCTCTCACATGCACTAGTGGGTGCACTAGTTTGAGAAAGGCCTCTCACATGCACTAGTGGGTGCACTAGTTTGAGAAAGGCCTCTCACATGCACTAGTGGGAGAAAGACCACTCCAAACCAATCTGTACAATTCACCAACTGAACTCTTTGAAGCCTACTCCTATCCTCCCAACCCGTCACACCCGCGTGTCCTCGCAGATCACCTTTGGGCGCTCACCCGGCTGCGATGTGCAGCTGCTGTGGGCGCGGGCATGGCCAGTTGGCGTGGAGTGCATCTCCTTATTGGCAAAGAACTATTTCATTCACTCCCCCAACCCCTTCCACCCGCGTGTCCGCGCAGATCACCTTTGGTCGCTCCCCCGCCAGTGATGTGCAGCTGCTGTGGGCGCGCGCAGTGGATGGCGGCATGGCTGTTGAAACCGCCATTCGCAGCAACCTGCCTCGCGGCACAGGAGGAGGAGGAGGAGGAGGAGGAGGAGGAGGAGGAGGAGGAGGAGGAGGAGGAGGAGGAGGAGGAGGAGGAGGAGGAGGAGGAGGAGGAGGAGGAGGAGGAGGAGGAGGAGGAGGAGGCGCAGCAGCGGGAGCCGGAGCCGCAGCAGCAGGAGCAGAAGCTGTGCATGCTCCGCACACTCCACGTGTCCATTCGCATGATCATGCCGATGCTGATACAGACAATGGGGGCACTGGGCGTGTGCATGGAGAGGAGATCAATGCTGACGGCAACACGGTGCGAGTGAAGATCAACAGCCCCGGGCTGCATCTGGCTGACAACGCCCTTGCGGCAGCAGCCGTGGCGGTGGCGGCATGCGTGCCTCTGCCAATGGCGGCGCGACACATGGCACGATACGAGCCCGTCGGGATGAGGATGCGGGTCGAGCGGATACGAAGAGGTGGAGGGCAGGGAGAGGAGGGAGAGAGGAGCGAAGGGAAGGGAGAGGGACAGGACGGAGATGGTTTGACTTTACTGAATGATGCTTATAACGCCAACCCTATGAGTGTGGCCTCGGCTCTTCGTCTTCTGCATCAGCTCTCCCTCGAATCAACTTCCTCCTCGACTGCCCTCTCCTCCTCCCTCTCCTCTTCAACCTCCTCCCTCCCTGCCTCCACAGCTGCTGCCTCCTCTCCTCCAGTCTCAGGCCGCCACGTGGCGGTGCTGGGTGACATGCTGGAGCTGGGCAGCCAATCAGAGAGCGCACACTTGGACGCGCTCTCTCTCTGCCTCTCCCTCTCGGGAATATCTCTCGTTCTGACAGCTGGGGCGGGCTTTAAGTCTGCCCTGGCGAAGATGGTGCAGAGGGGAGCGAGGGGAGGTGCAGGGGAAGGAGTGGGGGGTGGGGATGAGGATGGTGAGGTTAGTAATGAAGGATACAGGGACACTGGGAAGGGGAAAAGCGGCAGTCTGCATTGCTTTCTGGAAGACGGTGCAGGGAGGCACTTAAAAGTGCATGCATTTGATTCAGCACAAGATCTTGCAGAGGCTGTTGCGTTATCTGCAAGCGTTGCAGATTCTCCCCTTGAAGCGCATAAAGAAACGATGGATATGGGTTTGATACGGACGGGAGATGTGGTGCTGGTGAAAGGGAGCCGAGGACTGCGCATGGAGCTTGTTTGTGATGCCATTCGTTCAGAGTTTGGATGAAGGGATGGTTGAATGCATTTGTAAGAGTGGCAGTTTTGTCAAATACGGTGTGAGCGAAATGATAGTACGTTTTGTTGTTTCAGTTGTTTCTATTATATTGTTTAGTCTGGTTCACGGTCAAGTGTAGCGAATGTTTTCAAGCTGAGGTGGAAGTGGACTCCCTCGAGACTGGAAGTTCACTTCTTCTAGCCAGTCACATAATATCAGATGCTGAAAACCCAATGCCATGTGTCACGCCTCTCGCTGCTAACCACAATTGAGAACGGTAGTCAACGCTACAGCGTGGCAACCATTCATTGCTCCACAGATGCAGCCCGCGGCGCGACACAGATTCACTTACGCGGGGGCGTTCAATTCATCAGTCTGCGCACTATCATGGGCCGAGTTTACCTAAGCGGCGCGACGCAGTTTCACTTTTACGTCTAAACGCGATTCATGAAAGCGAATGGACCTTGCCTCTGGAACTCGCTTGTTGGAGATTCCGAACAGCAATTAGATGTGATCACGCGCGTTACAGAAGCATTTCTGAAAGCTCACATGCACCATTGATAGCTGGCTGGCCCTCAGAGCAGCAAGCAAGCGCATATTAGTTTCATTTCTCACTAGCTGCATTAGTAGTTTCAGTTTTCGCCTGGTCAATAATTGCGGCTCGGTCAACTCTTTATTGTATCTGCAGCTCTGAGCTTCAATCGGTGGCCGGAAGTGACCTGATCTGTATCAAAGTACCGCTCAAACCTCTCGTCTCGTTTCAACCATCAATTCCTTTAACAGCATGGCGCTCGCCGCAGTATCGTCCAATGGCATCTCGTTCGGATTGGTGGCATCCGAGGCGGGTAGAATCTCTACGACCGTCGTCTCTGAAGCCAAGTCAGGTATGGCGTCCCGGTGTCTCCGTCTGCAGACAGTTGAAGATTTTAACTCATAAGAAGTCACGGAAAGGGATAATTGCTGGCCCTCTTGAAAAGTTACGCATTCACACCATCCGTTATCCTTCCATCCGAACGAGCTGTCTCCAGTGATTCCGATTGGCTGTCGGTTGAAAGGAGATGCGTCAGATACGTCATTCAAAGGTACCTACTACCGAGGCAAACGGAAGCTGTATTATCGAATTGTCTCCCCCTCGATCCCGTGACCCTCATACCTTTCTTCCCCGCCACCTTCCCCCGATCCCCGCCAGTTTCCTTTCTCGCTCCCCAGCGCACATCCCTCTCCGCCTCGTCCCCGCGCCAACGCCTTCCGCAAAGGCCCGCACGGCCAGTAGCCGCGGTCGCGGCGGAAACCGCCTCCGCGGAAGACGACGTCCCGCCGCCAGGGTGCTCGCGGATCAAAATCGAGCTCACGCGCCCGCTGGGGCTCGTCCTAGAGGAGCGTGCGGGGGGGATTTTCGTGGCGGAGGTGGCGCGCGGGGGGAACGCGGAGGCGACGGGGCTGGTGGACGCGGGCGACCAGCTGATTGCGACGAGTGCGATCGTGTTCGACGACAGCGACTCGTACGGCGGGGTGGTCGTCAAGAAGGGCATGCGGATCGTACGGTTCAACGTTCGCGGCGAGAAGTTTGACACGGTACGGAGGGATCATCTTCCTGAGAGACGTGACAGAGTGTGTCCTCGCCTTATTGGAGCTGGGGAACATTTCTTTGCTGGGAACGAGGTGTATCCAGGACAATCAGGCTCATTACGACTGAAGTTACTCCGTTACAGTGACGGATTCTCCTAACTGAACGGGGTGCCATTGAAATGTTCGAAATTGGAAATCTGGGGACCGGAGTTTCGAAGGGCAAATGAGGCGTGGATGTGTTAGGGAAAGGGAAGAGAGGGGTCGATTTGAGGAGTGAGGGACAGTGGAGGATGCGAAACAGAGTTTGGGGACGTGAGTCGGGAAAAGGGGACAGGAGAGGGTCGTTAGAGGTACACCAATTGCAATTCCCCTTCCCCTCTCGTCTTCCCAACCCCTCAATCCTCATCAATTTCCCTCTCTTTCTCTCTCTTGCTCCCTCCCATTACTACCTTCCCATTGACATGGTATGAGCAGGTCATGGCTGCAATCGGGACACATCCGTCGTATCTCAAGGTGAGCAACTTACTGAGTACAGAGTCGATCCACATTTTCAAGGCAAAATCTGAGTCGCTTTTGAGAATTCTCAAAAGCGACCCAGATGTAGGGATAAAGGCAGCGACTGAGATACACTCTCAGGGCTAGTGACAAAAACTGAAATGGCTCTTGTCACGTTCTAGCGATGCTCGGAACAATACATTTCTCATCTCTCGCGTTGTTGAGGCATTGTTGCACGTTGTGTGTATCCCTGCCTGTTCCACGGTGCCAATCCCTATCGCAAGCAACCTCTTCCTGTTGCACCGAACCAAAAATTGCGATGCGACTCACTTCCCTGCTGCTTCCTCAGCACGCTTGTATCACGGCTCTCACACTGCTCACCCACCTCCCACTACCCACCACACCATTCTCCAGCTCCTCCTGCTGCATCCGAACAGATAATTATTGTGTCATTATTACATTCTTTATGTATGCATTCTGGGGTGTACCAACCACTATGGTATGTGTTGCTGCCATGTTATGTGGACTCATCCCCCCATCTCGAGGTCGGCATAGAGTTGTAGGATGACATGCCTCTCACCTGAAACGTCACTAGCACCACCACGTGAAAGCACATCTCTGTTGAGACGGCCTAACGCGAATTCTCTCTCTCTCTCTCTTTCTTGTGGTCGTCTCCGCCCATCTGCAGGTCGCCATAGAGCTGCAGAAGTGCAAGCCTCTCACCAGGGACCCCACCACCTCGTAGACCTTCATGCTACTTCTGTGCCTCAAGACATTCGTAGATTCGGCGTTTCAAAAATAGTAGTGTCGCCCAGCTTCCTGCCGCCTCGTATTAGATGCTCACATCACAAACAACCCTCCGGGCTAGACTCACTTGTATCTTCTGATTATTTTGCAAGAAATGCACGATCGTTGCCTGCACGACAGCTGTGTTTTGGCGGGCTGGCTGGCACTCTTTCTGCTAGTATTGAGCCATGACTGCGCCACTCTTTCGCACTGAGCCCGCACAGAAGCCGATGAGTGAAGAATACTCGGTGATTCTCTCTTCCCTAAGAAGCTGTGTTTGTGTAAATTGAAATGTTCCACAACTCATTCATGATACTGGTTGGTTCTGAAACCATGATTGCTACACCCTAAGCTTACGACATGCTCAAGCCTCGAACAGTGCACCAAAAAGAAGGCAAACCATGTATGTGTGAATGTGTGTGTGTGTGTCATTGCGAGTGTATGTGTGTGTGTGTGTGTCATTGCGAGTGTATGTGTGTGTGTGTGTGTGTGTGTGTGTGTGTGTGCGCGCGCGTGCGCGCGCATGCGCGTATGTGTGCGCATGCGCGTCTGTGTGCGCGCGTGCCTGCGTGTGTGTGTGTGTGTGTATGTGTGTGTGTGTGTGCGTGTGTGTGCGTGTGTGTGTTTTGTGTGTGTGTGTTTGTGTATGTGCTAGCATGATTGTTGTCAAACTGTTATAATGCTTATATTGTGTAGGCTGTAGTGGGTTACAACCCAATTAGGGTTAGTGCTTGTACTCAATTCTATCTCAATTCAATCATTCTCGTTCAGATTCTTGACATGGTTTCAGAGCAGGTCTTGTTCCAGTACCGTTTTTTTAGGGCCCACCGCATAGTTCCCTGCCCGTAGCGCTGCCCCACTAGTCACGCTGCCCTGCCCTGCCCGTCGCGCCGCCCTGCTGGCCGCGCGCTACCCTGCCCTGCCCGTCGCTCCGCCCTGCCAGCCGAGCGCCGCCCTGCCAGCCGAGCGCCGCCCTGCCAACCGCGCGCCGCCCTGCCCTGCCTGTCGCGCCGCCCTGCTGGCTGCGCGCTGCCCTGCCCCGCCCATCGCGCCGACCTGCTGGTAGCGCGCCGCCCTCCCCTGCCCGTCGCGTCGCCTTGCCCTGCCCGCGCGCCGCCCTGCTGGCCGCCGCCCTGCCCTGCCAGTTGCGCCGCCCCGCCCTGCCCTGCGCGCTTCCCTAGTGCTCGCGCGCCGCCATGCCCGTCGCGTCATCCTTGCCTACGTGCTGCCTTGCTGGTCGCACGCCACTCTATTCTGCCCGCTATGGCTTCTCTCAGCATTCTCACCTTCGATCATGAGGGCCGTCCGATCCAGTTCGATACGTGGCTCGATGACTTACAGCTGTACCTACTGAGCGATTCTAGAGACAGCGTTTCGTTGTTTGACCACACGTCTGGAGCCTCTCTCGCCCCTCCCGACACAGCTGACAGTGCGACTTGCTCACAGTGGCTTACCCGTGACGCTGCTGCTCGCTTATCCGTTCGCAATTACCTGCCGTTAGCCGAACGCGCTCACTTTGGCCAGCACAAGACTGCTAAAGCCCTGTACGACGTTGTAGTCGCTCATTACTCTTCCCCTCCCACTGCTGCTCTCGGCCACCTTATACTGCCCTACCTTTTTCCCAAGCTGTCAGCCTTTGCCACAGTCAAGGACCTCATCACCCACCTTCGCACTAGCAACGCTCGCTACCGCACTGCCCTCACAGCCGAATTCCTAGACAAGAACCCGCCTCCGATGTACATCACTCTCTACTTCATAGTCACCCGCCTCCCTGCCTCTCTTCTCGCAGTTAGGGACCACTTTCTCGCACTTGACCCCACAGACCTCACTGTCGACCTGCTCGAGAAGCACCTCCTTGCAGCTGAGACTAGCATAGTCTCTGTAGGTGCTGCTCGTGGCACTCCTCGCACACCCTTCTTTGAGGGATGTTCCCCCTCCCCCCTTGCCCCCTCCTACGCTTCTGGAGCTGCTGTTGACATCCTTGGTACTGAGGAGGTCGGGGCTGCTTCTGCTCCTAGTGGGAAGCACCGCAGCGGCAAGGGCAAGGGGCGCAAGAGTGGTGGAGGTGGCAGCGGGGGTGATGGTGGTGGAGGCGGTGGAGGCAGTAGAGGTGGCGGAGGTGGCAGTGGGAGTGGTGGCGGGAGTGGGGGCTTCGGTGGCGGCAGTGGTGGTAGCGGCGGCAGTGGTGGTAGCGGTGGGAGTGGTGGTGGCAGTGGTGGTGGCAGTGGAAGTGGTGGCGGCGGCAGTGGTGGCGGTCGGGGTGGATCTGTTTAGCGAGGAGGTTCTGGCGGTGGCCAGAGGCAGTAGCAGCAGCGTCCGAGCGAGACCCCTACGCCCGAGCAGCTTCGTGAGTGGTTTTCTCAGCGTGGGGCGTCTGGGGTTAGTGTTCGCTGCCCGTATGTCATTCGCACAGATGACCGCGCTGGTCAGACATGCGGGAAGTTTCACATTCAGCACCGCTGCTTCTCCCGCCTTGACGACGCTTGGCGCGCAGAGTTTGGAGACGAGGCTGAGCGCCCCCGCTGGTTAGAGTTGCTTAGGTATGGAGTTGATATCTTTGCTCTTGACTATGATGCTATCCTTGCTGCCATGTATGCCTTGTCTGTTAGTGCTGAGGGTGACTATTATCTGTGTGTGCCGCCCGACCCAAGTATAGAGGCAGCTACTCTAGGTGTTAGTGAGTTGGCTCTCCCTGGTACTGTGCCTCCTGAGGCCTTGCACATCTTTGTTAGAGACTAAGGACGGAGTCTATGAAGATTAGGGGCTGAAATATCTCAAAATCGTCAACTACAATTCTGGACAGAAAAGTCGTCGTCACAAGAAACGTCGTCGACGAAAGGTCCACTGTTAGAATTCTTTCAAACTCGAGTATGTTGTAGCCCTTGACCGTGGCTATCTTTCCCAATTTGAATAGTATCAAAATATGGAGTATAACTCGAGTTATGAACTTCGGAGCACTAGGGGGTATGCTGCCATAGAAAACGTAACTCAATCACAAAGATGTCTCACAAGTTCACACAAGAAAGTTAGAGTAGCAATAGAACCAGGTAGGAGGGGACGAGAAGGACGAGAGGGAAGGTCCCAAGCGAGTCCCCAACCAAGGACACCCCATACCACACAATTCCCCTCTCTATAGGCACCCCAACTTTGACATTTGTCACTTTCCCAACTCATGCCATCCACCTCACCCAACTTGGCCACACTTGCCAACCTGGTTTGGCACCTCCCAACCACTTGGCAGCATCTACAGTGATGTTGACGAATTTCCCAACCCCCAAGAGTCTGTACTCCTTATGGAGTCAACACCACAACTTCCCATAGTCACCACAACCAAATATCAAAAGCATACGAACTTCCAACGTTCGTAACTTTCTTGTTCGTGCTCCGATTGAAGCGATACTTGGTTCGTCGGAAAGCTCTTGAGCAGAGGAGTCACTTCAGATATCTGCTCAAGCCAAATAACATTCACACACACTCAGAAAAACCAAACCGCACAAAACACAAATTCTTGCATACGCTCACACCACGCATGCAACGCACGAACACATGATGGGAGGCAGACAGACGTGAAAGCATATGATTGCATCACACAACAACCTTCACACTTGACTCAGGTGCTTCCCGTTGTTTCTTTCGCGAGAGTACCACCCTCACTCCACTCCCTGCACCTGTTCCAGTCAGACTGGGTGACCCCTCAGGGGGCCCAGTTCTTGCCCGTTCCTCCACTGTTCTCCCGTATCCGGCGGTTCCGTCCGGCTCACTCTCAGGTCTTCACCTCCCCTCGTTCTCTACGAACTTGCTGAGTACCGCTGCCCTCCAGGATACGATGGTCACTGCCACCACTCCTGGAGGTCAACATGTGTCGATCTGCACGTGTACACGGACGGGCCGTCACCTGGCCACATTCACCTGTCGGCCTGGGTCGAGTCTGTACACACTGACTACTGAGCCTGCTCAGGTAGCTGCTTCTGGTCAGGTGTCCGCGTCAGGTCAGGTAGCCGCCCCCTGTTCGTGTCGCCTCCTGTCGCACCAGACTCTCCTTTGGCACCACCGCCTTGGTCACCCCTCCCTGCCACGCCTTCGTGGCATGCACTCCCGCCTCCTTGTTTCTGGTCTTCCCAGGTCTCTGCCTCCCCTCCCACTCTCGCCTGCCCCTCCTTGCCTTCATTGCGTTGAGGGGCGGCAGCGCGCCGCTCCTCACTCCTCCTCGTTTCCCCCAACGTCTGCTACCCTGCAGACTCTCCACATGGACGTGTGGGGCCCAGCCCACGTCAGTGGACAGGACCGTGAGCGCTACTTTCTGCTGGTTGTTGACGACTACACGCGTTACACCACGGACTTCCCGTTGCGCAGCAAAGGTGAGTTTCTTGATGTCTTGATCCCTTGGATCCGCGCAGTCCGTCTCCAGCTCCGCGAGCAGTTCCGCGAGGACCTTCCTGTTCTGCGTCTGCACTCTGACAGAGGTGGTGAGTTCTCCTCCAACCTCTTGCGAGACTTTTGTCATGGGGAGGGCATCCTCCAGTCGTTCACGCTTCCGGCCTCCTCGCAGAAAAATGGGGTTGCTAAGCGCCGCATTGGCTCAGTCATGGAGGTGGCTCGTACCTCCATGATCCATGCGGCTGCTCCCCATTTTCTGTGGCCGTTTGCGGTCCGGTACGCTGCGCATCAGCTCAACCTCTGGCCCCGTGTCTCCTTGCCGGAGACCTCGCCTACACTGCGTTGGACGGGGAAGGTTGGCGATGCGTCGGTGTTCCGAGTCTGGGGCTCTCGTGCCTTTGTCCACGATACTTCCGCGGACAAGCTCTCCTCCCATGCCATTCCCTGCGTCTTCTTTGGCTTTCCCCCTGACGCGCCTGGCTGGCAGTTTTACCACCCCACCTCGTGCCGTGTCCTGCCCTCTCAGGACGTCACGTTTGACGAGTCGGTTCCCTTTTACCGTCTCTTCCCCTACCGCACTGC